CATCACATTGCAAACCCAATAGTCACTCAACTTTATCCTTTCTAGCTACTTTATTGGCAATTAAAATATACTGTGGCAATGGCTTGGTTTATGGGGTTATGGAGTTGTAGATTATAGGATTACTATGGCAATGGGTCATAGTACAAAGGTATTATAATTATTATTATTATTATTTCTCACCAGAGGATAGCTTTTCCATTGCTTTTCAGAGAGAGTGGAAATGAGGGAGGGAGGGAGGAAAAGAGAGAGAGAGAGAAACATTGATGTGAGAGAGAAACATCAATTGGTTGCCTCCTGAATGTGCCCTGACCGGGCCAGGGATCAAACCTACAATCCAGGTACATGCCTTTGACTGGGAATCAAACCTGTGACCCTTTGGTGCTCAAGCCAATGCTCTAACCACTGAGTCACACAGGCCAGGATCAAAGGTTTTAATTCTTATGAATAGAGTTATAAGATAAACACATTTGAGTTCATTTTAAGTAAAATAAAACTATTCATTAAAATAATTACCTGATTTAATAATGTTTATAAGCAAAAATAAATTCTTTACTTTCATTATGAATTTTGTCACTTATAAAAACACTGACAATTATTTTATTTGACTTCCATAACAGTTCTGTGAAACAAATAAGGATTATAGTCCCCATTTCACAGAGAAGGTAAAGTATGGCACCTAAAGTCACATATCCAGTAAATGGGAGAGAGTAAGATGCTAACCCAGACCTTTTCCTGTCAAATTTTAAGCTCTTTCTCCATGTCACATGGCCCTTCAGTATTAGACTGTAACTTAATAAATAAAAAACTAAGTATAATATTGTAGCTTTCTCACTCTTTAATTTTCCTTTCAAAGACCTTATTTTAAAATCCAAATCTTTGGGAATCATACAAGCTGCTCAGACTATCTGCTAATCTTAGAAATACCAAACTAAACTAAACATGTGTAGCTCCAACTCCAGTTTAGGGGTTGAGGTGAGGAACTATTTGTACTGCTCTCTTCTATAGCCTATTGCTGAAATAATTTCTCATAAAGTCCAACTCTTTTATCTTCAGAAGTTGTTTTATTACCATCTTGACTTCATGCATGACAGAAGCCCAAACAGACAAAATTAAATACACATAGAGCATCTGTGTTTGTTAGCATAGGGCTTTTATTACCTTTTCCTAATCGATAATCCTCTCACTATTATCTCTTTGACTTTTTAAGCTAGAGCTCTTTGATGCACAACTGGCATTCCAGCATCCCTTAGCAACCCTTGTAGACCTAGAAATAGCTACAAAACTTTGAAAGAGCAGGGAGTTGTAAACTCAAACCAAACAGAATGTTTTTAAAAGTAAACAGAATTTAATGAGGTTTTTTTTAAAAAAAAAAAAGATATAAAGTGATTTTATTGCTCATTACAACAAGCATATCAGTTATAAAATAGAAAATGTTTATTTGGGCAGATACTTCGATATATCTATATCAAACCAACTGGTGCAGAACTACAAAATGAATACTTTTGAAGATGTTTGGAAAACTTCCACTTTCTAAGGATTATTTACATAAAGGCCAAAATAGCACTTAAAAATGGTTACAGTGTCCTGGCCGGTGTTGCTCCACCACTGGAGCATCACCCTCACACCCAAAGGTTGTGAGTTCGATTCTCAGTCTAGGACACATACCTGTGTTGCAGGTTTGTTCCCTGGCCTTGCACCAGGGTGCGTGTGGGAGGCAACCAATTGGTGTGTCTCTCTCACATCTCTCTCTCTCTCTCTCTCTCTCTCTCTCTCCTCTCTCTCTCTCCCCTCTCTCACTTCCACTCTCTCTACAAAATCAATGGAAAGTCCTCAGGTGAGGATTAATAAAACAAAACAAAAAAAAATGGTTACAGATTTTAATTTCTTCCAGTCAAGATGGTGGAGTAGGAAAGCATGATACTGGCATCTTCCCATGACCACATCAGAATTACGACTAACCTAAAGCTAATATAATATCGTACATCAACTGCAATTTTAAAAAAAATTAAATTTAAGTGGTTAAAAATTGGTGTACCTCCTAATCCCATACAGAAGTGAAGAAAAAAAAAATTCTACTACCAGGTATCAACCCAAGACAAATGAAACATGTGTCCATACAAAAACTTGTACATGACTGTTCACAGCAACGTAATTCAAAATAGCTAAAAGATAGATACAACTCAAATGTCCATCAATTGTTAAATAGGTAAGTAAAATGTGGCATATCTACCTAATGAAATATTATTTGGCCATAAAAGGGAATGAAGTACTAATATATGTTACAACATGGATGAGCCTTAAAAGTGTTATGCCAAGCGAAAGAAGCCAGTCACAAAAACCACATACGGTCATATGAAATGTCCAAGGCAGAGAGATCTGTAGAGACAGGAAGTAAATAGTGGTTGCTTAGTGCTGGACAGAGGGAAAGAAGTAGGGGATGAAGAGAGGACGATGGCAGCTAAAGGGCATAGAGTCCCTTTCTGAGATAATGCGAATGTTCCCAAATTGACTATGGTGACATGCATTTATCTGTGAATATACTAAAAGCTATTGAATAGTATATGGATTATATTTCAAAGAAGCTGTAAAAAATTATTTAAATAAATAATAACCCACTTAAAGCACTATTTTAATAACATCCTTCCTCCACTCAGAGTCTAAGACCCACAATATAGACATAAGCTGTATTTTATCGAGATTAATTTACCTTATACACTGAGTGGCCAGATTATTATGACCACCTGACGTTTGTAGGCAAATTAGCTATATTTTGGTGCTGAAGTTGCTAGAGGGCCAGATCATTATAAATGTTTGCATAGCACAACATACCTAAGTATCGTTGCTGATCAAGTTCATCCTATCATGTTGATGGCATATCCCAATGGAGATGGCTTCTTCCAACAAGACAATGCGCCATGCCATGGTACTCATATTGTGCAGGAGTGCTTTCAAGAACATGAGGGAGACTTTACCTTGCTTAGGTGGCCCCCACAATCACCAGATCTCAATCCAATTGAGCATTTGTGGGATGAAGTTAAAAGAGCCATCAGGCAGCTGGTTCCACAACCATCAAATCTCACAGAACTGGACAGTGCTATTCATCAGACTTGGTGTCAGATTCCTCGCATCACCTTTCAACATCTCATGGAGTCAATGCCAAGAAGAATCGCCACAGTATTGAAGGCAAAAGGTGGTCCAACGAAGTACTGATGGGGTGGTCATAATAATCTGGCTGGTCATAATAATCTGGCCACTCAGTGTAAATTCTAAATGTATAACTTATAAATTGAGCAATAAAAATAATAGATAGTTTGGGTGAAATAAAATATTTTAAAATCATTGGTAGTGCAACTAGATCTGCATCATCTTGCTATTTATTTCTGTACTTTATTTGATTGCACATGTTCAAATTAATTGATTCATAGCAATAAGTAGCTATCAATGGCAAGATTTTGAGTTGTTTTGTGTGTTTTTTTCCAATAACTCACCTTTTAAACTTAGTATATTGTTCATTTAAAGAGAGATAGCAAGATCCAAATACAAATGAGTAAATCTGTCAGCACAAATTACTTCGCTGCTGGTCTCTGCTTTGTTAAAAATTAATATGTAACATTGAGTTTGAGTGTACATTTGAGTTCAATTTTTTAAATAGAAATTTAAAGCAAATAATTGTGTAATCCTTGAGTCTTTTTCTCAGAACCTTGGTTTTATGGAATAGATTTTGAAAACCAATGACCCAGGTGCTAAAGCCCATATCCCTTAGGATGGCATGTAAGATTTTGTGTCATTTGCACTTTATCCATCAACCTAGCTGCATTTCCTACCAAAATTTCCCATTTCCCAAGTCCATCAGCATCTTTCATGGGTTATACTTTTACCCTTGCTTTTTTTCTCAGTCAAATGTGACCCATGTACTACTGCCTTCTAACCTGAATTTCTATTTTTATTCCAAAAGTTAAAATGTTAATGCCCCATGAAGCCTTGTGACTGTCCCCAAAAGCACCTTGTATATACCTCTATCATCAACATGTGTTGCCTTGTGTGACAATCATTTCTTCCTCTCAACTGTGAGTTGCTAAGAAAGAAGGACTAATTTAAACATCCTTGAGTTCTCAGAGACTTTCGAAGTTTCTGCTACCTAGTAATCACTCCTTAAATGTACTGAATTAATTAATCCATTAATTAATCCTATATAATAAAGCGGTAATATGCAAATTGACTGTCACACCCTCACACAAGATGGCTGCCCCTATGTGGTCAAAAGATGGCTGCCATAAGATGGCTGGCAGGGGAGGGCAGTTGGGAGCGACCAGGCCAGCAGGGGAGGGCAGTTGGGGGCGACCAGACCAGCAGGGGAGGGCTGTTGGGGAGACCAGGCCAGCAGGGATGACAGTTAGGGGCAACCAGGCTGGCAGGGGAGTGCAGTTAGAGGTGACTGGGCCAGCAGGGAAGGGCAGTTGGGGGGGACCAGGCCTGCAGGGGAGGGCAGTTAGGGGCAACCAGGCCTACAGGGGAGGGCAGTTGGGGGAGACCAGGCTGGCAGGGGAGGGCAGTTGGGGGGGACCGGGCCTGCAGGGGAGGGCAGTTAGGGGCTACCAGGCCAGCAGCGAAGGGCAGTTGGGGGCGACCAGGCCAGCAGGGGAGCAGTTAGGCGTCGATCAAGCTGGCAGGGGAGTGGTTAGGACATGATCAGGCAGGCAGGCAGGCAGGCAAGCAGTTGGGAGCCAACAGTCCCAGATTGAAGAGGGTGCTGGCTGGGCTGAGGGACCCCCTGCCCCCCCCCCCCTGCCCGAATTTCATGCACCGGGCCTCTAGTATTAATAATAACTAGGAGAGTGATTATAGTAGCTAAAACTGCAGGTTTACCTAAGTTAGTCAATAGCCAACCCTCTTATTGAGTTGATATTTTAAGTTCTATAAGTACTAAGTAGAAATAACTCTTATAAATCATGCTAATTTTAATTTTAACTTCATTTTTCTTTAATAATGACAGCACTCACCAACAAAGGAAAGCAGGATGACCAGCAGGACAATGAGAGCGCAGATACATGGAACCAGGACCAGCAGTAGGAAGCGGAGAATGTTAGCAGTCGTCAGCTGCTGAGAGCAACCATCACCCACGGCATCTTCCTCAGACCCCAAGACCTAAATCAAAAGAGAAATATGAGCCCGTGCTGGTTTGGCTCAGTGGATAGAGTGTTGGTCTGTGGACTGAAGGGTCCTGGGTTCAATTCTAGTTGACGGCACATGCCCAGGATGCAGGCTTGATCCCCAATAGGGGACGTACAAGAGGCAGCCAATCAATGATTCTCTCTCATCATTGAGGTTTCTCTCTC